GCCCATTGGGTGGGCGTGGCTGCGGTGGTAACGGCAGACTGGGTGGGACTAAAAAGTTCAATCAATCAATTCCAACTTTGCAAGATCTTTTTTTCCCTGCGAGAAGTTGAAATTGACTGATTGATTGAACCTTTTTGTTTTTTGCACATGGTGGCGGAGGCCTAAAGTGAAAAGGTTTTATAAAACCCAGCTGAAGGCCTAGGACTGGGGCGACGGTGCACGTGCCCACAGAGAGGGCTCTGAGTGCCGCCTCTGGCACCCGTGCCATAGGTTCGCCACCACTGGTCTATGGAGAATCTCAGTCATGGTTGTCCCAAAGGTGCTTTTTCACGAGGCAACTGGACTTCCTTTTTTCTCTTTGAAGACGTTTCGCTTCTCATCCAAGAAGCTTCTTCAGCTCTTCAGAGAAAAACAAGAAAGTCCAGTTGCCTCATGAAAAAGCACCTTTGGTACATAATACTGCAAGGGACCTTTAAAATGACATTTCATATAATATATAATTACAAATTTCCTTCATTGTTATCTAGGGCAGGGGTCCCCAACCCCCGGTCCGTGAACTGATACCGGGCCGCAGCATGCCAGCAACTGGGTCGCACAAACAAGCAAAGCCCCATCCGCAGGATGTAGGCAGCACACAAAACCACGCTCCCCTCTGGTCCACGGAAAAACCTCTCACCATGTAACCAGTCTCTGGTGCCCAAAAGGTTGGGGATGTCTGATCTAGTGGATAGGAATACTATAGGGTTGGATTAGAATACTGATGCCTCAATATTGCAGCAAGATGACTAAAACCATTGCTCCTATCCAAAGATGAAAGGGACTCCATTTCAGGTAGTTAAATATCCTGTGTCAATGCTGTTCCTCATTCCATTAATCTTTATCTAAAAATGGCACCTTCCCTATAAATTGGACATATTAGGGAGACAGCACATTGGGGATGTTTGCTCTGGTCTACACCTGCAAAAGATAGTGCTTCCCAGTGGATTCCCAATAGGAGCACATTCTTTGCTCTTTATTTTTCCTGTATTTATTATCACAGACAGCTGCACAGTAAACAGAACTGCAATTGGCAGTGTAAGAACTTTGCCAGATAGAGAAAGCAACTTAGTGTAGTTGGCAGATTTATAAGGGATAGTAGATAAAATAACCAAAAAAGGGGGGGGGGAAATAATGAGATGCCTCAATTATTTTGAAGGATGAAGCATTCCAATTTTAAGACACTGCTGTGATAAATTAATCTTCTCATTTCTTTGATCAGGCAAATTTTAAGCTGACAGAGATGCAAGAAAAATCTTAGACCAATTGTTAATCTAATCACAGTTCTACTTTGCAACAGAAGTGACTCATAGCAATTCCCCTCCAGGATAGAAGTAATGAGGTTTATTCCCAATACCTTTCTTTCTTCAGACACTCTATTATACATACAAGGACTTCCATGGGCCTATCTCTCCCTTGCCTTGCATGCTGTGCTTCCTAATGCAATAGCAAAACATTCTTCAAACATGATTTTGACAGTTATCTTTAGCTATCTGATTCCTTCCTTCGAAAGTGAAAACAACACTTTAGCCACAAAAAATGACAAGATGAAAACAAGTGCTAAATGTGCCAAGGAGATGAGACTGGAAGTTCGTAGATCTTTCATTTCGATGTTCTTGTGAACATCTGGAGAAAATAGAGTACAATTCAACCTGTCTCGGTGAGAGTTTTAGTCATTCGTAAGTTGCTAATAAAAAAACTCACAGTCAAATCCCAAAGATGCTTTTTCACGAGGCAACTGGACTTTCTTGTTTTTCTTTGAAGATGTTTTGCTTCTCATCCAAGAAGCATCTTTGGGAGAACTATGACCTGTATGACAGAATCTCCATAGACACTCACAATCAAATATGAGGCAACTTTGAAATGTTCTATTCAAAGAAAACCTTTGAAGAGTTTTGAAGAAAAACAGAAGACTTCAAAGTCTTCTGACCGCCTTCTGCCACAGATTCCCTCCCACAGACCGGTACGCTCCCACAGAA